CAAGGTTTTCATCAGGGGGAGTAAAATACGCGATGTACTCTTTTTTCCTTATTAAGTTTTTTTTTCCCACAGGGTTTTCCTTATAAGGTTTTTAATGAGGCAGTTAGCAATGCGCATTACTAAATATGTGTACTCTTTTTTCTTCACTAGAATTTTTTCCCACGGGGTTTTTCCTAGTAAGGTTTTAACGAGGCACATTATCTTTTAATGAACATCCAATGGGGAGTGTTATGAATATATTATAATATGGATGTTCATTTAGTACTTCGTTGTAAATAAGTTTCCTGGAGAAGTTTATCCATATGAGACTCCGCCATAAATACATTTATCTATTTAGTACTCTATTGGAAATAAGCCTCTTGAAGAAGCTTATCCTTTCGGTACTCTGTTATAGATAAATATTACCCATAATAGAAGATTATCTATATCTGGCACAACAGTTTAGAGCAGCAGCTTGCAGAAGCAGCTTACACAGCATCTTGCAGTAGCAGTTTACACAGCAGCTTGCAGTAGCAGCTTACACAGCAACTTCCTTTCTTCTATAAATAGAGGAGAATTCAGTTCATTATGTACAGAAGTTTGAAGTTTGAATAATATATCAGTTTCTCTCTATACTTGTCTTTACTTTACAGTCTTTATTTTATAATAAGATCAAAGAATAAATAAGGAGTTTTCAACGTTTTTTATAAGGAGTGTGCAAAAGTCAAACATGACAAGTAAAACGGACAGATGAAAATAACTCGGAGAGATCCACAATTTAAAGAGAAGAAAAGCACTATGGCACGAAAAAACATTTGACAAATAATTTTATAGTATCTTAATTTGTTAACCTTTAAAACATTTAATTGTATTTATTTATTTATTTATTTGTTTAGAATTATAATATTTGGGCCAGTTTGTTCACTAATACCATAAGATATCTACAAGGTGACAATCATGTTCATGCCCTTACATGGTAGGGACAAGGAATATTAATTCATTACTAAATGTGGGATGCTAGAAAGCAATTTTCTTATACGTTAACATAGACATTTATGGCTCGTTTGGTATGAGCGATAAGGGATAAGGGATAATTAGTCCCGATAATAAATTTGAAATGCGTTTATTCCACGTATGATTGGAATAAAATCACAGTATAACTAATTTTGAGATTAGTTATCCCGGGACTGTAGTATTATTTTTATCCCTATGGAAGGATATTATAACAATCCCCAACCAAACGACCTCTTAGGGATCAGTCATGCTCATGCCCTTACAGATGCTTAACCCCACCTTAGTTTTTGTCCTTAAAGACTTTTTAGGATTAAAAAAACGTGTTCTTAAAAATCTGCAGACACCAAAAATAGTGACCCCAAACACTATTTAAAGAGAAAAATATGATCCCTAAATTTACACTTGTGGATTATAATAATTCTAGTCACTATGATCCCTTAAGGACCTGTTATTTGAACCTCATTGTTATTGGCTTTTAGTGGCAGAGCCTATAACGTGTGTATCGACTAAGTTTTTTGGTCGCTATTGACTTTTATGGACCATGAATCACACTTTTAGGGACTAGTTTTTCAGTTGCTACTAATCATTTTTCTTGTGGTGAAGTGGAAAAGTAGAATATATGAGTAGAAAAGGAATATACTTCTCTATTTTTGTTTATCTCATATCTCTGTTTATACTTTTCTTTCATATATGCCCCTGTCGTCCAGCAAAGTTTTATATTTACTCATGTTTTAACGGACATGACAACTGGCATTGTGTGATTAAAAGAACCAACCCAAAAACAAAAAACCCTCAAACCCGAATAAAAAATGTTAGGCTTGGGAAAAATAATATAAGTTCACAAGAGTGGGTTGCTTTAGTGGTAAGCACCCTTCAATTCCAATCAAGAGGTTGTGAGTTCGCGTTACCCAAGAACAAGGTGGGGAGTTCTTGAAGGGAAGTAGCCGAGGGTCTATTGGAAACAGCCTCTCTACCCCAGGGTAGGGGTAAGGTCTGCGTACACACTACCCTCCCCAGACCCCACTTACCCTCCCCAGACCCCACTAGTGAGATTATACTGGGTTGTTGTTGTTGCTTCTCACTAGACATGGAAAAACAATAGTAACAATAGCTATAACAAAACAAGTGAAGAATAAGAACGATTATCCCAGAAAACTAGCTTACTGTTCATTTTGACTCAAAATTTACAGTAACAGTCCATCCAACACGATCTCTACTGTTCAACTAAGAATAGGATGTTAGAAACTCCCTGTAACAAGTCAGCTCGATCCAACAATGATGAATCAAAACGCAAATTGAAGTTAACTGATCGCACAAAAATTCTGCAGCAAAAATGAATTTTTCTCATCTGGTCTTCTCTCTTTTCAAAACGGCCGCCCATCTCTATTCTTGTAAAACAATCATATTGAACACACATATTTAAAACATAAGTGAGCCATAGAAAGATAGGTTTGATCCAAAGATCTTAATTTTTTCATCCACAAGGGATAAGGGCAACCTAGTGCAAAAAGTATCTGCATTCACGCAGAGCCGCACCCCTAGGGTGTGATGTAGACAACCAACCTTAATACAAACATTATTGACTGTTTTCACGGCTCGAACCCGTGACCTGTAAGTTACATGGAGACAACTTTACCGTTGTGCTCCTCTTCCACATGGGATGAAAAAAATAAAATATCAGACATGAGTTTCACTTTCTATTAGAGATTGCAAACAACAGAAACAACTATTCCATATATAACACCAAACCAAACAAAACAAAACAAAAAAAAGAAAAGAAGAAAGAAAAGTAGAAGAGAGAGCATCCACATACTGAAAGTGCACCCCTTTGTTAATGCTCCATGTGGAAGTCAGAATCATCTCGAGTCTAAGTCCAAAGATAGTGTACTATTTTTGCCTTATCTTTTGATAGCCGTAGTGTCCCGACCAGCTTGCGTGCACCTGATTAATTTCATGGGATACCTGCAACAAGTACAAAGTAACTCTACCCACCAAGGCTTGCATAGATAGGAAGAAATCATCTAGTGTTTTTTACCTCCGCTGGGATTTGAATTTGAGAGCTCATGGTTCTCGCCAACTTCATTAACGCCACACCCTTAGGCGTTATTTTTGCCTTTTTCTCTTATATGTTCCACTTGTAAAGTCTTTTTCTTCTTTTTCGTTTGTGGAGAACTGGGGTTTCCAGAACTTTTGCCATTATAATATAAGATTCGACCAGAGAAGGCGTGCAGTAGCATCAGCATATACGAAGATGCAGATTACCACCATGTGGTCATTTTTTATTCTTCTTATTGGCCTGCTTCTTAAGGAAACAACACAAGTTTCAGCTATAAGAATAAGATCACTATCAGCAATATTATCTTCATCAAAGCCTGGCTGCCCAGAAAGATGTGGCAACTTAACCATTCCTTATCCATTTGGGATAGGAAAAGGGTGTTACTTCGATGAGCCATTTGAAGTGAGGTGCAATAACAACACTGCTTTTAGTCGTGGTCTTAATGATAGATCTGTGAAACATATATCCATGGACACCATCACGATTGTTATTCCTTTCAGTCCTTACCCCTACAACAAATCATCTGGAAAGAACCTTTACGGTGATGAATACAGCACGGGAAAATCCATCTACGAGTATTTCAGTGTTTCCATCAAGAATAATTTAGTAGCCATTGGGTGTGATATTTATGCTTATATCAAAGATTTAGACAACACTAGCAGACGCCAAGACAATATTGTAAGTGGATGTGCTTCTTTCTGCGACAGTGGTGGAGCTAAAGGTAAGTAAACGGTTTATATGAATTTCTTTCATCAGAAAATTATATTGTGTATGTAGGGTAAAATTATACTTTTTTGGGTATATATATTATAAATTGTTGAATTCCCTTAACATAAGGGAATTATCTAAGGTGGTAGCAAAAGCGGTTCAAAAAGTGTTTTTACGTTATAGGTTCACTGCTCTATGACTCCAATAATGCTTCATCTTCAGCTTCATCAACTTATTGCACTGGGAATAACGGTTGTTGTCAGTCTGCTTTTTCAAGAATGCCAATAATTCTCTTTGCCTCCATACAAACAATGAACACGGAGAAAACATCATGGACATCTAGCAATTGCACCTATTTCTTAGTTGTGGAAAAAGGCATTGCTGAATCTGAATTCTCTCAATTACTTGGTAAGTGCAAAAAAGATGATTATTATAAAGGAAGGCAAGGCAGGCGGTGAACTGGGTAATTGGCAGTGTTAGTTGCAACAAAGCCACCAGAACGCCAAAATATGCATGCGGAAAGAACAGTAGGTGCGTTGATGACACTACTAGACCTACTGAGGGATATTGATGGAATTGCTCTCCTGGTTATCAAGGCAACCCTTACCTCCCTAATGGATGCCAAGGTACTAATTCCCGTATCCAACTTTATCTGGATCTAACTTATATATTACCCCCTCCATTTTAATTTATGTGTCTTTCTTTTTAATCTATTTCAAAGAGAACGTCGCATTTCTATCTTAGACAGATCCATGATATGAACTTTATGGGTTTGAATTTAAGATTCTACAGCATGTGATCTAGTTTAATGGGTCTGAGATTTATTATTTGTATTCATTTAGTGCGCTTTTCATACATACGGGTTTTAAGCCAAAGCTACCAGGTTTAGACAAACTCGTAGCTTAGTAACTAGATCCTGGTTTCTATGTTTAGTAAAGTTTTTAATTCCAGTATTCATATTTATAACCCTTAATAACACTCATTTATAGGAATGAAATAGAATGTGTAAAACCACAAGATTCAAGGGATACTTTTGGCATGATATATACACCTTTTGTTTAAAACAACATTCAAAAGTATTCCTTATACATTTAAACTTCTTGGTCAATCAAACTGAGATACATAAAATGATATAGAGGGAATTACAATGTCAGAATAGTTTTCACCACTGGCGTATTTTAGCTTATTTTAGCATGTAACATGTCTTATTTTTGAGGTAACTAATCTCACTCTTTATGGATAATTACTTGTAGTTATCTTTTAGGTGACCTAAAAGTGTAAAAAGTTCTATACTGTCAGTGTACAGAAGTTAAACTCTTTTTTCTTTCACTAATTGGAAGGGTAAAGAGGATATGGAGGTGAGGCTTGATACGCAAGTCATCCCCAAGAGAGGTAGTTTCAAGTATCTATAATACAAGGTAACGGGGAGATTGATGAAGATGTCATCGTATCGGAGCAAGATAGATGAAGTGGAGGCTCACTTCTGGTGTCTTGTGTGATAAGAATGTGCCGCTCAGACTTAAAGGTAAGTTCTATAAGGTTGTAGTTAGACCGACTATGTTGTTTGAAGCAGAGTGTTGGCCGGTCAAGAACTCTCATACCCAGAAGCTAAAAGTAGCTGAGATGAGGATGTTGAGGTGGATGTGTGGGCATACCTGGTTGGATAAGATTAGAAATGAAGTTATTCGGGAAAAGGTGGAAGTGGCCCCTGTGGAGGATAAGATGTGGGAGGCGAGGTTGAGATGGTTCGGGCATGTTAAGAGGAGAAGTATAGAAGCCCCAATGAGAAGGTGCGAGCGGTTAGCCTCGGTGGGTAGCAGGAGGGGTAGAGGTAGGCCTAAGAAGTCTTGAGGATTATTAGGCGGGACATGGCGCAACTGGAGCTGACTGAGGACATGGCCCTAAACAGGAGGGTGTGGAGGTCAAAGATTAGGGTAGAAGGTTCGTAGGTAGTCGAGCGTTTCTATTTGTCTTACTAAGTTGGTTAGTATTAGTGTTAGTATGATATCTTTTATCCATAGACGGCTATTACTACCTAGAGTTTGCCTGCATTCTTGGATTCAATCTTATTTCATCTTGTTGTTATTCCTACTTGTTGCAATTACCTTTTCTTTTTAAGTCGTTCTCTAGCCGAGGGTCTATCAGAAACTAGGGGTGGACATTCGGTTTTTGGTTCGGTATTTAAAAACTTCGATTCAGTATTTCGGTATTCGGTTTATCAATCGTGTATACCAAATACCGTACCAAAGTAGTTCGGTACGGTTCGGTATTTCTTACTTTGGTTCGGTACGGTTTCGATTTAACATATTAACGGAATAGATGATGTAGATAGAGTGGACAGTGGACTGGACATTTGGACACGATGTGCTAAGCTAGCTGTTGCCTGCTAGACAATACTAGAATTTATGTTTGATATGATATTTGGAAGAAATAGAGTAACAGCAAAAGTGCAAAACCAACATTCCAAGCATCTGCCATCTATGATGTAACAAGCATCGGCAAAAATCAGTCAACTAACGAAATAGAGTAAGAGGAAAACTTCAAGAGTCTCTATTGAATAGATCTAAGCAGTGGACAAAACCACTGCTGTAAAATGGAGAAAGATGGTGGATCCTCCGAGCTAAGCAAGAAAAAGAGTGTTGTTACCTCAACTGTTTTATTGTCTCCAAAATTTTCGGTGAAGAAGGTATCAAGCACAATATCCAGTCAATGTTTAAAAAAGCGCCCGCTTCCTCGCTTTAAGCGAGAAGCGAGGCGAAGCGTGAAGGGCAGCGCTTCAGCAAGGTGAAGCGACTCAGGTCAGTAAAAGCGACCGCTTCTCTGTAAAAAGCAAGAAGCGGGGGAAAGCGAAGAAGCGCCCGCTTCTCTGTTTTAAAATACCCAACCCTATTAAAAACGAGTTTTTTGGATTAAACACTGGCCTGGACTTCTTCAACAGCAGCGACTAGGGTTCTTCAACTTCCAACAGCAGCGACTTCTTCTTCTTCATCTACTTCTGATTTCTGAAACAATCTCAAAGTATCAACTAGGGTTGTTGTTCTTCTTCTTCAACTTCAAGTTCAAGACTTCAACAGGTATGTTCTGAGCTTCTGCTTTTCATTCTTCTTTTTCTTCTCTTTCTTTCTAAACGTCCAAAAAGCGGCGAAATGCTGGCGAATTTTTTCCAGAAAATTACTGCCCAATTTTTCCAGTTTTTAACAGAGAATTCCTCTAATTTTTATATTCTTTATTCTTAGTTCTTATTGCATTTCTTATGTGTTATGTAGTTGTTCTTTTAATGGCGCCAAAAGAAGATAGGAAAGACTCGGCTTGGGCTTACTCTGCAAGAGTTAGCGAGACCAACAAGATGGCAATTAGATGTCTTTTTTGTGATAAGATTTCAAATGGGGGAATCTATCGTCAAAAAACGCATCTAATCGGTGGTGATCCAAATGTCGCATCTTGTCCTAAAGTTCCGTCGCATGTGAAAGAAGAATTGAAAGCATTCCTTCAAAAAAAAAAAGAGTTAAAGACTCAAATGATTCATGAACAAGAACTGTATAATCTTGATGATGACGATGATGACATAGAAGAAGGTTTCGATGCTTCCTCGCTTCCATCAAAATCACAAAAGCAAGGAAGGATGCAAACAATATCTTCTAGTTGTGGATCTACTGGCAAGACCAAAGGTCCTATGGATTGTTACTTCTCACAAAAATCCAAAGATAAGGGAGGAAAAAGTGGTAATCCTCAAATTGATGCCAAAGCGATTTTGAGGGATCGTGCAGTTACAATGTTTGCGCGGTAGATGTATGATGCAGGTCTTCCTTTTAATTGTGTTAATTATACTGACACTTTTTCTGCTTTTATTGAGGCCGTAGGCCAATATGGTCCAGGAATGAAGCCTCCAACTTATCATGAAGTTAGAGGTCCATATCTAAACAAAGAGGTGGAAGAGGTGAACAAAATCGTGGAGGAGCACAAAGTAGAATGGAACAAGTTTGGTTGTTCCATTATGATGGATAAGTGGACAGCAAGAAATGGAGAAATGATCATCAATATATTGGTGAATTCTCCTAAGGGAAGCCTGTTTTTTGAGTCCGTTGATGCAAGCGACTCTTCGACTGATTCAACCAAAATGTACTCCTTGTTCAAGAGTACAATAGACTCTATTGGAGCAGAAAATGTTGTTCAAGTTGTCACGGACAACGCCAGTGAAAATGTTAAAGCTGGTGATTTGATGTCTGTTGGGTACCCGCATATTTATTGGACTCCGTGTGTAGCACATTGCATTAATTTGATCTTCGATGACATTTTCAAGGAAAGACCCTTCAGTTCAGTCTTTAATCAAGCAATTAGAGTGCATTCCTAAATTGTTCAAAGGCCTTTATTATTGAATATGATGAAGAGATTCACTAAACAAAGAAGCTTGGTGAAACCTGCAAAGACAAGATTTGCTACCGCTTTCTTGACTTTGCATAGGATGTATGGGCAAATAAACAATTTGAAGAAATTGTTTGTTTCAGATAAGTACACTAACAGTGCCTATGGAAGAGAAGCTCGAGGGAGAGAATCTACAGATATTATACTTTCTCCTTCATTCTGGAACAATGTGGTTCATGCATTGAAGATTGGTGGTCCTTTAGTTAAAGTGCTTCGTTTTGGTGGATGGGGAGCAAAGGCCACCAATGGGCTACCTGTACGAAGCAATGGATAGGGCAAAGGAAGCTATTCAAGCCTCTTTTAGTGATCACAGAAAATACAAAAGAGTCTTTGAGATCATAGATAAAAGGTGGGATGGTCAGCTTCATCGCCCTTTGCATGCAACTGGACATGTTTTGAACCCGGAACTGTTTTATGACAATGAAGAGAGGATTCTAGGAGATGAACCTTTGTGGAATGGATACATTGAATGTATTGAGAAGTTGATACCTGATTTATCCGTGCAAGATAAAATAAAAGAGAAATTTAGTAATTATAGTAATGCTGAGCAACTTTTTGGAAAAAACATGGCGATTAGACAAAGAAAGATGAAGTCACCAGGTAAGCGAGTGTTTATATGTTGCTTTATAGTTAATAAGTTATTTCTTTATCAATATTATGTTTTGAAAATTTGTTCTACTTCTATAGTTGAATAGTGGAAGCAATATGGCCATTCCACTCCAGATTTACAAAAGTTTGCCATCAACGTTCTAAGTCTACATGTAGCTCATCCGGGTGTGAAAGGAATTGGAGCGTGTTTGAACATGTAAGAACTAAGAAGAAAGATTTAGTATATTGAAATAATTAAATTATATCTCAATTGTCCTAATCTTACTAATTACTTATTATTTGCAGATTCATACCAAAAAGAGGAACAAACTAACCTTGAAGCGTCTCAATGATCTAGTCTTCATTAAGTACAATAGAACATTGAGGCGTCGTTACAACGCTCGCAATGTAATTGATCCAATTAGTTTGGACAACATCGATGATACTAATGAATGGCTAACTGGAGTCCTGGAAGATCATGCAGATTAAGAAGTATTTGAGGATACTTCTGATTTCACTTGGGGTGATGTTGCGGAGGCGCGTGGAATTGGGGAGAGGATTTATGGTTTGAAGGGGAGTACCTCAACTTCAAGTTCACAAAGGAAGGGAAAAGAGGCAGCTACTTTGTCCCTAGTTGATGAAGAAGAAGAAGTTGAAGAAGATGACTAGCAATATAATAATGATAGTGGAATACAAGAATTTGACAATCTTGTAGAAGAATAGGATGCTCATTTTGTGCTTTAATTGATGTTACTCTTTAGTTTTTTAATTGAAGTATTGAACATTTGCTTACAATTACATGTGTTGTCTATGCAGTATTTATTTTAAATTTTTTTTAAAATTCCGCTTCACTTCAAAAAAGCGAGTGCTTCGCTTCTCGCTTTAAGCGAAATGGGGGTTGTTTCTTTTCCTCGCTTCACGCTCTTCACAACACTGCATCCAGTAACAACTCCCCAAGAAAAGCATCTCAACTTAACGGTAGGACTAGTCTTACACCAAGCAAGACTGGGCAAATCAGTCACGAAAATGTGATAAAGAAGACGTTGCACCTTAGAGAAACAAAGAACAAAAGCCACTCTTCCTAGGAAAATAGTAATGCCAAAGAATCCTCAGATAGAGATGGTCCAACTAGGGAACACGGCTTGCCTCGGATAGAGATGGTCCAAAACTTGAGAGAAATCTAGGTTAGAAAATAGAAAGGGAAAGGGGGTAAAACTTAAGAGCGGATACTGCCCGTAAGTCTGGGTGTGGGCTTAGGCTTATTGGGCTGGAAAATAAAAAAAAATTTAGGCTTGGACTAAAATATTTCGGTATTTCGGTATACCGAAATACCGAAATATCAAAAACTCAATACCGTATACCGTATAGAACTACCGCAATTTCTGTACCGATTATCGAAAAAACCGAAACCGAAATACCAAATTATTTCGGAATTCGATTTTTCGGATTTTATGCCCACCCGTATCGGAAACAGCCTCTCTGCCCTTCCAGGGGTAGGGGTAAGATTGCTTACATCTTACCCTCCCCAGAACCCACTTGTGGGAAACTACTGGGTTTGTTGTTATTGTTGTTGTTAATTGAAAGAAACATAAAACTACTACCATGCCTTGTAGTCCAGTGGTACCAGTGAGAATTTATCATATAATAGCTGAGGGTTCAATTCCCACTATCGTCTTACCTCCTTCCCCTTCCCTAATCCCCTTGTGTAAACACAAGCATAATATTAGACCGTTGATCAAGCTTGTTGATAACAAGATCAAAGAACTTTGAGCCATTCATTGTGTTGTATCTCTTTCTTACCTTTATTTGATTTGATGTTAATTTCCACAGACATCAACGAGTGTGCAAGTCAAAAAGGGAAGCATTCATGTCCCAATGATGCTCGTTGCATAAATACTCCTGGCAGTTTCCTTTGTGAGCCAAATGATGTGAAACATATGCTGACTATACAACTCTCCTTAGGTATTATATAACTCTCTTCTTTGTCCTATATTTTTGTTCTCATTTTTCTTTTTGTTAAGTAAATTATGCTTTCCGCAACTTTTTGTTTGAGACATATCACTCCTTGAACTGTCAAATAGATTCATTATCCTTTTCATGTTATGACCTGACTAAGAACTTTATACTAACATTTATCCTAGCTAACTGCTCTTTAAGAATATTAGAAGCTCAGTTATCTTAATCTAAGTTTTAAAATTACAAAGGGCCTGGAAAAGGAAAATTATGGAAAATAGGAGGAGCACCAGTTCAGGGTGTTCTAGAAATGGATTTATGTTTCTTTTGTATGAAATTGGTTTTCTCACAAGCAGGTGTTGTAGCAGCAGTTACTTTTGTAATCTTGATAGCAGTTTGTCTTTGGCTACGCAAAAGGCTTCAAAAGAGGGAAGAAGAGAAAGCTAAACAAAAGTTTTTCAAGAGGAACGGTGGATAACTCAAAAGACAAATGAACCCAGCATTTAATCACACTTTCTCTGTTCCATTTTATGTGGCACTATTTCCTTATTAGTTTGTTTAAAAAGGAATGACATCTTTCTTTATTTGAAAATCTAAGTTAAAGTTTCTCATTTTACCTTAAGGGGTCGTTTGGTACAAGGGATAAGGTGGGATAAGATGTGGGATTAAATTTATACCGTGTTTGGTTGGAGGTTCTGATAAATTTATACCTCCAACCAAACACGGTATAAATTTAATCCCACATCTTATCCCACCTTATCCCATCAAACTTAGGATTATTTTATCCCACCTCCCATATGGTATAAATTAGTCATGGGATTATAATCCTGGGATTATCCCGGGATATTTTTGTTTGTTGTTGTACCAAACGACTCCTAATAGCATGCCTTTAGAACCACATAAATCTCATGGCATGTTTAAGACAGTAGATTCCAAAAGTCTTTCTTTTGTTATTAAAATGCGTCCCAAAAAGATACGCCACATAAATAAAAAAGGAGAGAGTAATATTTAAATTTACTATTTCTGACAGGTACTTGGTTGTTGTTTAGAAATTGAAGTTCCGTTATTAGTTTATGAATACATCTCTAATGGAACCTTGTCATCCCATATTCATGGAAACCTTAGTCACAATTCTGATCCTACTGTCTCAAAATCATCAACAATAATACTATCGTGGGACCATCGCTTGCGAATTGCTGCAGAAGTAGCAGGGGCCCTTTCTTACATGCACTCATGTGCTTCTACTCCCATTCTTCACAGAGATATCAAATCAAGCAACATATTATTAGACGATACTTTTAGAGCAGTGGTTTCTGAATTTGGACTTTCAAGATTATTGTCCGTTGACAAGACTCATTTAACAACACTAGTAGGGGGTACATTTGGTTACATGGATCCACAATATTTTCGATCTGGTCAACTTAATGACAAGTGTGATGTCTATGCATTTGGTGTAGTTCTTGCAGAGCTTCTGACAAGCCAAAGAGTTGTCTCTTCATACATAATAGAAGAACCAGGTTTGGTCAAACGCTTTACATTATTATTGAAGCAAAATCTCATTTTTGAGATTTTAGACACTGAAATTATAAAAGACCTTGAGGATCAAAAAGTGATTCTTGCTGTGGCTAAGCTTGCCAAGAGATGCTTAAATTTTAATGCACGGAGAAGGCCATGCATGAAGGAGGTGGCAGCTGAGCTTGATCAACTAAGAAAAAGGGGGCAAGATATACCTCATGATGAGTGTTTTCAAGATAACTTTTCTCCAAGAAGTGGAAGTTCATATAGTTGTAAATCTGATTGTACAGAAGAAGATATTCATAAACTCAGTGTCTCATGATTAACCGAATTATTTTTGAAACGAAAGTTTGTAATTTCTATAACTACAAGTTTTATTTCATGTAATATTGAAGTAATTGCATTGAGACATAATTAAATGAATATTTAGCAATGACTTGCCATAATATTAAGTTGTTGACTTGTTGTAATACGATGAAGATAATTGTTATGATTTTCTTTTATTATCATTTATTATATTTTTGGCACCTAGCTACTTTAATAGAAACGAAAGAAGGTTGCTTGAAATGGTTTGCCTGTGTCGACCTCCAGATGCTCCGGTACATAGGTACAAAAGCATGGTGAGTGATGGTGCTAAAAGGGGGACGAAGGGGGATGAGGTAGACCTAAAATCGCATAGAAGAAAATGGTTTGGAAATACCTACAATTTCTTGGAATCCATGCAAACTAAAGATAGGGCACAATGGAAGAAAAAGATTTATATAGGTGATATCAGCTAATTAGGAATATATTTGTCATGTTAGTACATTTATGTATGTATTAACACGTGTAATCGTTTTATGAAATGATTATTAGATGATAATACTGAGGAAGCTCCATACTAATATGTAGGTGAAGGATTCTAGAAACTAACTTGTCAACGGACGACAAGAAGAATTAGGATTTTGACTACATGTGGGGTTTCAGAAGTAGAAGCTTATGTAGGTGTTTTTCCACCGCTTGAACGCTAAGGGTGTGGAAGTTTAAGACTAGCTAGTATATAATGTCCCACATAATTTGTTAATATGGTTTTTTGGTTTATTATCTTCTGCCCTTTTAACTCTGCCTATATGTAGAGTATAACCAGTGTCAATTCAGCTTACCTTAAGAGATAATAAATTGTACGCGAAAGGATACAGATAGTTCATGTATCCGACCTCAACTACTTTGAGACTGACGTGTAATTGATTTCTGATTCATTACAAATTGTTATGAAGTCAGCGAACTATTATATATCTGTACTACCCCAACTCTTAAACATATATTATAGTGTTAAGTGATTATGAATTTATTATGTTTATGTTCTGCATGGAGATCATGTTGAGGTTTAGCCGTAGAACAAGGTTCCATTTCAGATTTCAGACAATGGCAGTGTATATTCGAAGTTTCAGTTAACCTGTAACAGCTGAAGGATAGATATTCTCAATTGGACAATGAACAACTCAAATACGGTCCAAAGAAAGTGCAATCCTGTAGTCAAAGTGAGCTTACTTAACCATCTTGAATCAATATGACAGATGAAAAATACTTCACAGAACTAAATAATTCATTCAGGCACTTAAGCAAACATCTTATGGGCAACCATTTTTCCTGATTTGTCGGACAACCTTAGGGAGCTGGATCTCCCCCTCCCCTCCCCCCTC